GCTACCTGTGGCAAGAAAACGAAGAAAAGTTGCCAATTCTAATTGAGCTGGCAGGTGAGTTTTCCGAAAAGTGAGCTTCATATGTATTTTTGTTTCTTCAAATATGTGTGAAAACAGTTCCTTGCCCATCCGGAAGTTCGCAACAAACCTACGTATTTTTTTAAAAATCAGTAATCTGCTTCTGGGAAAATACAAGAATTTACTTACTCGGCCTTCGGCAGCTCCAACACATTTGTTGCGTCCCTTACATTGCGTCTTTGGACGCCTAACTCCACATCGTCGGAACTTTCATCCTAAAAGTAAGCAACCGCTGCATACATTATAAAATTACAAATTTCGAACACTAAAAACCACCTCTTTTTGAAATTCACAAATATTTCGTTAAAAAACAAGCAAACGCCAATGTAAACAAACGATTACATATATAAAGAAATGTATGTAAACAAAAAAAAGGGTCAGACAAATATTCAAAAGTTTCCTTAAAAAAGATAAAAACTTTGAAAAAAGTATTTTTTTTTTGTAATACTTAAATTAATACATAGGGTAACTACGCTTTTGACAAATGCTTTCGTCTCACATTTTGTTATAACGTAAGCAACGTAAGGGTTGACGAATAGCATAGGGCATACCAATGCGAGACGAAATCGTCGGGAGACGATTCGTTCGTCTGAGCTTTCGTTCGCAATAGAGAATGAGGCTGTGAAAATCAAAGTATAGAATGTCACAAATATAAATCATACCCGCATACAATAGTAATTGCTATGAATTTCTACCGTATAAATTCAGGTCATGCATTAGTCGGAGACTCCCGTTGGTTATGGTGTGTTTAAAGTTCAGCCAGCGCATTCAATGGTCCATTACCCGGAGCTGCTACAATATGTAGAGTAGATTTTAGTGAGCCTCACATGCCACTGCCACTGGCTACAAGCTGGATATCTGAATATTAGAAAATAAATAGCAATTATCTATTAAAATTATAAGAAAAGTGTTTGTTTACAAAATTACCTGTGCCACTCTGCCATAGTATGGTTGTTACTCTCTTTCATATCACAGTAATTTTGTATACAACTCTGAATCCGCAAAGTTCATGTTCCTTCTCATTAACAACCCTGACTAGATTTTACCCCTAAGGAGTACTCAAAATGGTTTATTACTATCTATACTAAAGTCCAGCGCAGGTGTATTTGCCGCATTTCGTTCAATAAGTACTCCTTGCATTGTACTCTACTCCCAACACATTGTTACTCTTTTTCCGCATACATACACTACTTGGCGTTGAGAGAGTAAATACTTGACGTACTTGCTATTACTCCACCAAAGTACGTACTCTACTTTCCCTCATCGCGTACGAGAGATATTTGCTGCTGCCAAAAGGGAGTAGCAAATCTACTCTCTGTATACTTGTAGTACGGTAAGTACTTGCGTATTAAATTTCAATTCTGGTTGTTAGCCTACTAGTTGATATCGTTTGCGGCGCTGGTCAGTGAAATTGAAAGAGTAAAAATAGAATATGGAAATTGACGATGTAAGGAAATGTTTACGGCCTTATTTATAAAAAATAGCGTAGATTTAGACAGTTGTTTAATGTGACATTTTCATACAACTTTTTTCTATAAAACTATTTGCAGTCATAAACCAACAGATAAGTTGTTAAAAACAACAACTGCTATACGAAATAAAATTATTAGTGGCAAATCAAAATTTTGAAAAGTGCCGATTTTCACATTCGATAGTACATGGTAGCGACGAGATGTACGAGCATTGTTTTCTTAAGAGCTGCATACTGATTTAAGAAATTTTTTATAGAAGCAAATTTATTTTCCATTTATTGTGCGTAATTTTATATGAATTTTTAGTTTTTCTTGAGAGCCTTTACAAATAAAAAAATTTCGAAATATGTACACACATACGCAGCCATATAACTTGATTTCAAGAGACGCATAACGGTCACTGATTTTTTTTAGCAACGGTTGCGCTCAACCGCTGCGCCTTCTGAACCTACCCATTGATAGCTTTTTTTTTTGATAACACTGTGCGACAGCTCAAATCGGTATTGAGTAAAACCAAATTCAAGAGATAGTTTTTGAATTTCATTGAGTTTTTTTAATAACTACTAAAATTAGAGGTGTATATATGTTTTCTTCGAAAATACTCAAGTACTACTAGTGAGTACTCTACTGTCAAATACCTTTTACTCGCAGTAGTTGCGGAAGGCAAAGTAAATACTCTACGCGTCTTGCTATTGATCGGTAGTTTACGTACGCTTGCAGAAACTGGTTTATGCTTACTCACACTTGACCCGAACGATGAGAGTAAAGGTGGGAAAGTATTTGGGCGGCGATCGGATGTCTTGTTAGTCTTGGAATTGCGCAGGAGTTTAGTGTATACTATGCTTTTTTGCCATACCCACGATTGAGAGAAATAGGGATTGCGTCCATCGCGGTACCGCTAATCCGCTCTTTGTGAATTTGACAGAACCAGCTGTGTGCGTGACGTCATCTTGGTTCAATTGTTGATTGAAAACCAAATAACGATTTAACTGTGTACGGTTTAGTTATTTGCCCAATAATTTCAGGCTATTGTGTCCGAATGGGTGACCCGATCAAAAAATGTTACACACACACACACTTGTAGCCAAGGGTCTACACTTTATTGTAAAACCTAATTTGGTAATTTGCGATCGCTAATTTATTAATAAATTCGGTTTGAAAAATTCACTTTTTTGTGAATTTCGGAATGAGTTCTACGCAAATGTATTGTGGATGCCATAGCCAGAGTTATATGCACAATACATGTTGAATACCTTTGACAATAGAAAGGTGTACTGCACAAAAATACTGTTTATCGAGTTTACATTTCCAGTGTCAAAATGCTAATTTTAGACCATGTTCCAATGGTTTCCCAGGGGTTTCGAGGGATCAGGTGTGACAAAGTGTGAAGCGCGTTAATATATCTGCGTAGTTTTACACAATTATTGAAACATTACAAGGTAAAATGAAGTCTGCAGTGGCAAATTGTAAAAGTGAAAACAAAAGGCAAGCGTGCGATATAAGTAATTTTTTTTCTGTACATATCTACATACATATAACTTAATGCATTTTTCCAACATACGGCATGTGCTGAAAATCGTACTTACCTAAAGGGCTACATGCCCAAAATCATTGCTACGTGTTCCTATTTAATTAAACTTTGTATATTTATTAATTCCTGCAAAATTGAACCATTGATATTAATACTTTATTCCGCATATTTTCCTATGTGTTTTGGCATTTCTCTCTCTCTCAATTGCACCAAGATGTCGTAACGCAAAAATTTCGCTCAAAAATCCTCTCTTATGGGTGCAACTTTTTATTCTATCATTCTTGTGCCATACCAATATTAGTTGAATAAGACCGCCTTCGATTCGCAAATTTTCTGCTCGCAATGTTTGAGTTCCGCTTGCTTGCTTAACGAAAAATTTTTATCTGAATGCAACAGCCAAGTAAATTATTAGCGATGACCGATGGCGAGTTTGCTTGTACCTCATTGAATTCGCTCTTTTCGCCACGCTCCAAATGTTGGCGAATCGAAGGCGGCGCAAGAATGATAGAAAATAAGATTGCGCCCTCAGCCTTGCTGTGACGTCATGAACGAAACAGTATGAATAGCAGACAAAGAAGTGGGAAAATTCCATACAAATGATAAAGAAAATTGCGAACACTCACTTAAAATTGTAAAATAAAGAATATATATTAGTTTATTATGAGTATTATTGGAAGAAAAAGCTAAATAAATGTGCCAGGCATATATGTGACGAAAAGCAACCTAAAAGTATGTTCACATATCAATATTATCTCAATCAAAGCTCGTTTTTTAATCTCACCGTTTACACAGGCAAATCTCAGATTATTAGCTGTCAAATTTGTGCTTGTTATTCTCACATCCCAAGGAAAAGTTATGTTTCTTCTCTGTGGCACCGTGATCACGTTTTTCTGCTATATTAAGCAATATAAATATATTTTAACTTAACATTTTATTAAAAATACCTTTACGAACCTCTTTTCCTTGCTAGCGTCCATTTTTGTTTACTTTTACATTTGGCATTTCTCCTCTTTTTCGCAAAAACAATCGATAAAACTAGGATGGACACCGAAAAGTTATCGGTTAAATCTGAGATTATTTTATAATTACAGATTAACAAGGGGCGAATTTTATATGGCTAATCTCTTGTTCTAATTACAGATTAGGGTGTTAAGCTCGAAAATGAGGATAATCTACTTATATGTGAACCTAGTATAAAGTTGCCTAATTGGAAAAGCTGTGGGTCAAAGTATCTAAATAAAATCGAAGTGGTTTTGTGTTTTCTATTAAAAATTTTATTGCACACATATATTGCTGAATATCAAAAAGGAATTAATAAATAATAACACTCAGTTACAATTTTAGGGAATAGTTCTTATAAATAATGTTTTTTTGTGGTTGAAAGGACTTGATCGCCGGCAGGAACTTATCAACTTCTGTGCCAAAGTCACAGCAAGCGGAAAGAAAAAATAGTTGGTTATCAACGATTTGCCTCAAATATCGTTATTGAAACTCGCCACTGAACACTAAATTTGTAAAAATCACCTTTCTTTCTTAATTGTTAGTTTGTTGTTCTTTGTGGTAAACTTTCGTTTCGCTTATCTTATGACGTCACATCACAGAAGCTGGCTGTCAAACTCAAACCAAAAATGATAGCGGAACGTTCAGGGCGCAATTTTCTTTTCTATCAGTCTTGATGGTTTATAATTCAGCCTTCGTGGTCGAGAAGGCCGCAAAAAACAATTTTAAAAATATTCAGTTTTACAATAACTAAATAAGTTATTCAATATGGCCCGGAGTTGTAGTCAAAATAAAGTCGACTCTAAAGTTGACTGCAGCTTTTTGACACAATTTTCGACGGTTTATCTGTCAACATAGCTGCAACTAGCTTTAGAGTGGGCTTTATTTTGACTTTAAGTACGGGCATATGTCTTTTTTAGAGCAACTTTTCAATTGGACGCTTACCATATAATTGTCGTCGAGTGTATATGTTGGACTTTGGACTTGCACGGCAGTACACAACAGGAACGGGCGAGGTTCGTTGCCCCCGTGCCGCGGCTGGATTCCGTGGAACTGTGCGATACGCATCCATAAACGCCCATCGCAATCGAGAAATGGGTCGCCATGATGATTTGTGGTCTTTGTTTTATATGCTAGTCGAGTTTGTGAACGGCCAATTGCCATGGCGAAAAATTAAAGATAAAGAGCAAGTAGGCTTAACGAAAGAGAAATACGATCACAGAATTTTACTGAAACACCTGCCATCTGACTTAAAGCAATTTTTGGAACATATACAATCGCTAACATATGCCGACCGGCCTGACTATGCTGTAAGTATGCCTTTATCATAAAACTTATTGATAATCTCTTCATTACTGCCGCATCATCATCATAATCAATAAAATATTTGTAGATGTTGATCGGATTATTTGAGCGTTGTATGAAACGCCGAGGTGTGAAAGAATCGGATCCATATGATTGGGAAAAGATTGAGACGGTTAATGCAACAACTAGTCAAAATACGAGTACTTTGCAAATGCAGGGTAAAAATGAGTTCATACACGGGAATATCACACAAATGACAGTGGCAGCATCTAACGCCAGCGGGACGGAATATGTAAGAATTTTTTTATGTTTTTGAAGTGAAACTTCTTCAGTAGCGAGGTGAAATAAAAAATCGTCTGGAAAGAAACTGACAGTTGGGATGCAAGATTAGTGCATCTCTCTCTTTTCACTCCTTTTGCCGCCTACAATAATATTTGGAATGTGTTATGGAAACATGATACAGAGCCTACCAAGACTAAGATAATAATGATTTTAAGATAAAGTTTAGATTGAAATTGAGTTTGAGAAAATACTATTGGCCCTAAAACCGTGTAGTTAAATTCATATAATTTCTAAACAAGAGGCCTGGGCTGGGAATATAGTCATATCATCTTTGTCGGTTCTGGTATTTAATCAGCCTGCAGAAGACGTGAAAGAAGTCTGGGCTCACTGTGGCCACAGCTTGAGCACATTCACCTCCTACCGTCGAGAGCGCTACTGAATTTTCTGAGATCGCGTGCGCAACTCATTTAATATTTTTATATATGAAATGAAGTGGCAACGCCAAAACACTGAATTGATATTCTTATTTTGCACATCTGGCAACTGTTGTTGCTAGAATGTTTTCTTATTCATTTTGATCATTCATTCTCACACTTTTATTTGTAATGTACTTTTCATTCATATTATTTATTAACTAAAATAAACATTCATATTTAAAAGTGGTGTCAAAAGTTGAATTTAAAAGATGAGTCTTACAACGGAGGATCTGAAGACAGTAATGGATGCGCCAGCAAGCGCGATTCGAGTAGCTGTGACGGAGGCTTCACAGAATGCTGCGGCGAATGCAAATGCAAGTCATCCGGTGTTACCCAGATCCGTTCAGTATTGCGGAATACAAATCAGAAGACAAATCCTCAGTGCAGGATTACTTCACACGTATGGATTGGGCTTTACAGTTGAGCAAAGTCCCAGAAGAGGAGCAGCACAAATTCGTGCGTGTACACATGGGGGCAGAGCTCAGCGCTAAAAATTCTTGTTAGCCCGAAAGCACCAGACTCGCTCAACTACAGCGAAATAAATAAATGCCATTTTGATCCGCCATTTTAATGGCTCGCGAAATCAGTATGCTGAAAGTATCAAATTTCGACAAAGTAAGCAGCAGAAGTGAGAGTCGATTTCCAAGTTTGCACTTCGTTTGAAAAGTGGCGCCGCATACTGAGAATATGGCGAATTCTTAGATAGGATGCTGGTGGAGCAGTTGTTGTATGGCGTGGAATCACGCGCTATTTGTGATGAGGTTATAGCGAAAAAACAAAAAAAAATTGCTTAAGCACACGAAATATCACATACAATCGAATTAACGCAAAGTGCCACATCAGATTTGAAGTGTGAAGAATTGTTGCAGCCAAGTGAGCCAACGTATAAATTGGGATATGTGCCAGTCAAAACAAAAAGAAGTGCAAATTAGAGAAATGCGGATGCAAAACTCTTCGGTGCAAAAAGCGAATTTTAAGTTTGTAAAGACAGATAGGCGATTTACAAGCTACACGAGTCATAAGGTTAACTGCATTAGGCGGATTGTAGTAACCGCGACAGTGGGGGAAAACTTCACGACGACTAAATTTGTATATCGTTCAAGGAGATTGCGATACACTGTGCGGCAGAGAATGGATCTCGCAATTTGCAAGACAAATAAATTTGACTGAATTGTTTTCGTCATCCAGCCAGATCAAATCCATAAATTCGACCACCTTAAGACTTTCGGTGAAAGTTGAGTGGGCCACCTGCAAAAGTAAAGCTCAAAGCGGGAGCAACACCAATTTATGCGCGGGCACGCGAAATACCAAAGACGATGAGAGATGTGTATGCCAAGGAAATAGATCGTAAAATTCAGTCAGGTTTCTACAAGAGAGTGGAGCATTCGGAATGGACCTCAACAACACATGTAGTTGCGAAAAAGAATGGAGGCATTTGCATCACCGGCAATTATAAGCCCACGGTTAACCCCAGGATGATCATTGACGAGCATCCGATTCCAAAAGCAGAAGATTTGTTTAACAAAATGAAAAATACTACAATATTCTGTCACTTAGATGTAACCGATGCATATACGCATCTTGCAATTGATGATGATTTTGCGCACGAATAACATAAAACACCACGACGCATGGATTAGTACTCGTGCGGTGTATGGGGCTACAAATATTACCGCTATATGGCAAAGAAAAATGGAGGCAGTTCTACATGGGGTGCCAAACGTGTTGAATTTCTTTGATGATATTTTGGTCTTTGCTGAAAATTTCGAGGAGCTGCTGAGGGTGGGTGTTGGAAACAACGCTAAATCGCATCAAATCGAACGGTCTGCATTTAAATAAGTCGAAGTGCGTTTTTCCGAGTCCATCAGTGGAGTTTCCGGGCCATCGCATCGACGCGCAAGGCGTGCATAAATCCGAAACACACATTGAAGCTGTATTGAACGCTTCCAAGCCGACGACATGCGAAGAGCTCCAACTGCTTTTAGGGAAAGCCACGTATTACGCATTTATTCCGGATTTGGCGACGAGCCCGCGGCCACGGCGAGATATGCTGAAAATAGACGTAGACTAAATGCAAATGCAGCGTTTTCTCGGCTAAAACAGACGCTGGTTTCACCTCAAGTTCTAATGCCATACGACCCAGCACTACCGGTACTACTTGTAACCGACGCGAATCAAATATGACTAGGAGCTGTGGTTTCACACCGTTTAGAGAACGGGACTGAACGACCAATTGCGTAAGCGAGTCGAACGTTGAATGCCACAGAACAGCGTTACCCGCAAATGGACAAGGAGGCATTGGCAATTTATGGGCAGTTCAGACATTTTTCAAATACTTGTATGCGCGTTATTGGTTATTTGTCACAAATATTACAACGTGCTAAATCACTTCCAGTACTTTGTATAAGCAGAATGGCTAATTACGCATACTTCCTAAGCAGATTCGATTTCGAAGTTGTTTACAAGAGTTCAAAGGCAAACACTAACGCCGATTATCTTTCACGTGCCCATCTCCTACGACCGCAATCGTTGCAAATGAAGCAGATGCAGAAGGCATCAATATCGAATCCAGACGAATATGACGAGTTCGACTATTTCATGATTCGCCAAATCAATCAACTACCGTTAAGTTCAGACCGCATTGCAAGGGAGTTCAGAAAAGACGAACGGCTCGGTAAAATAGTAAAACTGCTTGAAAGCGGCCATTGCTTGAAGAGGGCAGGCTACAAGTCCGCAGAAGTCAATTACAAGCTATCATCAGGATGTTTGACGTTCGACATCGCGTAGTTATTCCACCAAAATATCGAGACAAGCTACTTGACAATTTACACACATCACATTTGGGAATTGTTAAGATGAAAGGGATTGCGGGCTCATACTGGCCGGGCATAGACAGCGATATAAAAAACATGGCCAACCAATGTGATTCATGTGCGAGACAAGTAAACAGACCAGAAAAAAGTAGAGATCACCATTGGGATTATCCCAAAGGACCGTGCGAGCGCATCCATATCGACTATGCGGGGCCGTTCGAAGGAGCGATTTTGCTGATAATCTCTGAAGCATATAGTAAGTGGTTGTAAGTGAGGATTACAAAGTCGATCACGGCAACATCTACAATTGCTTTGCTGGACGACGTATTTTCGGCTTACGGCGTGCCGCTAACTGTCGTTTCTGACAATGGAACAAATTTCGCTTCTGCAGAATTCAACCATTTCCTGACATCAGTCGCTGTTAAATATCACAAGTACTCAGCTCCGTACCATCCTGCAACCAATGGCCAAGTAGAGGGCAGCGTACAAACAGTAAAGAATGCATTGAAAGCGATGGGTACTATAAGCAGTTCATTGCAGAAAAACTTGAACGAATTTTTAAGGCAATACACAAATGCACCGCACTCGACCGCGGCTCACCAGCACAATTGTTTATCGGACGCCAGCTGCGAACACGGCTGGATTTAGTTCGACCAGAGGAAATTTGGAAGAAGGTAGAAGAGAAGCAGCATCTGCAGTCCAAGGAAATTGTAAGAGAGTTCGAGCCAAATCAAAATGTTTCATTATGAAATACTCTTTAACGGAAAAAGGGTAAAAAGGCATGTAGATCAAATACGAAAGGGCCCCATAGGGCATGAGAGAAAATCGCCTGGAGTTGATTATTGTAAATCGAGGTTTTCAACTAAGCGACAGCGAAGCAGCTGCTTCAAGTAAAGCAGATCTCAGCGAATCTGATCCGCAACGACTGGCTGTTGAGTCGGCGCAAAACAGGGCTTTACAACCACACCGCATATAACACCGGAAATAATTCCGGAGTCAAGCGAGGTCCCTTCAGCTCCACGACGATCCACTAGACAGAGGAAGGCTCTAGTTCCATTCTCACCGTAACTCGTGCAGAGTAGGGAAAAATGTTACATATGAAATGAAGTGGCAACGCCAATACATTGAATTGATATTCTTATTTTGCACATCTGGCAACTGTTCTTGCTAGAACGTTTTCTTATTCTTTTTGATCGTCCATTCTCACACTTATCTTTGTGATGTACTTTTCATTCATATTATTCATTAACTAAAATAAACATTCATATTTAAAAATATATATCTAACCGATTAAATATTCCCAATATAATATCCTCAATTACTTTTAATAATTATTATTAAATTATAATGGATAATAGAATTTTCTGCGGTATTAAACGTAAAAGCGGCGGCTGTGGTGTAGTGGTTAGCAGTGCGCGCTACCATTACGCAGGGCCTGGGTTCAAGCCCAGGTTCCGAATAATATCAAAAACAAAAGAGAATAAAAAGTTTTTTCTAGTAGCGGTCGCCCCTCGGCAGGCAATGGCAAACCTCCGAGTGTACTTCTCCCATGAGAAACAGCTCCTAATAATACATGTATAAACGTAAAAGAAATAAACCGGAAGGAGTTTCACTTCACAGCGCACTCATTTTATTTTGCTTACCTGTTTAAATTGTCGCCCATACTTTCAGCTACGACGTCGCAACGATATCGATACAGCACTAATGGTTTCAACTGAACCAGTAAATTTTAAAGAAAAGGTATTAAAACGGAATTTAGAAATACCCTCACTCATACATCCCTTAAAATAAATTTCATTACTTATAATCGGTAGGTCGATAAGAACTGCAACGCCACATCTCCGTCTCCACAAGTAGATGGTCTTTTGCACAATTTCAGCTCATGCAACCAAAATAGCGCTCATAAAGCACATCCTGCAACCCCCACACCGGTAGCTGCTTCTAGTAGCGTTCGCGGTGTCAAAACAACCGAACAACCGCAAGATCAACAAAACCTAACAAAGTTGCAGTCTCATTCACACCTAAATACATCGAAAACTCCTTCAGTCTTGCCAGCGACTGCTGTGGCTCTATCTATAGGTGCAATAAAAACAACAACAGCCGCTACGTCCTCTAATCGTGCGGAAATCTCGGCTCCGAGCTCTTCACCGCAGTTGTCTACACACAAACATCATAATCAAAAGCAGTACAACCAGCAACAGTATACTCATGGTCAAATACATACCCAGCATATGTCTAAAGCTCCATCTACGCCAGCAGTAGGCCAAAATTATACTTCCCCTATTCAGGTATCTACAATTCATTCGCCTTTAGTAAGAAAAATCATTTTTAAGTATGTAAAGCTTAAGGGATATCTTCTAAGAAGTATTTAGTTTTCTGCCATATTATTTTCAAGGGACGCCACCTGTTTAACTTCGAAAAGTATTGCATTAAATATTTTCATTTATGAAAGCAGAAGAGCAAAACAAAAACAGTCTTAGTAGCATTTTTCCAGTTAAAGAAGATCGTGATGAAGAAGAAGTTATGGCGGACGATAGATCTGTTTTATCGTCAAAAGTTTATTTAGAATAATTTTGAGTTGCGACTTTTTGATTGATGCGATATATGTTTTTAAAATTTTTTTGTGAGCGTGAGTAAATTTGAAACTACTTAATAAGGACAGAATAAAACATATACTGGGAGAAAAAGTAAAACTTAGGAAAGTTTAACGGTTTAGAAACAAGCCTGATAAATCATAATTTGAAAAATTGCACAAGATTTTTGTTCCGGGCTACAAAATTCTCATTACACGAGCACTCTTAAGGTTAACATATTTATGGGTCAATAATCGATTACAACGCAACCTCAGTTGGGTTGCCAATGAGCAACGCCTTTGAATTGAAAATGTATATTATGAATAGCAACTATAGTTAAGAGCTATAAAGTCATTCCCAAGACAGCCGGTTCTACGTAACATAACGACTCGGGTTTTACCCGACCAAGGGCTGTTGTTTCGGCGATCTAACCCCGTTTATTTCGGCGAAGTATCACAGAAGTTGTTCGTCCATAGGGCTACATTTGCTACGTATTCTTCTGCTCAGGGCTGGCATCGATTCAAACCCAGGGCCAGAAACATATACCTGCTGTGTATGCCAGAGACTACTACACCACAACTCTACCTCAGTCAAGTGCAATGCTTGCGACGGGTGGAGTCACCTCAGAGTCTGCTCAGGACTACGCACCCATCGGCAGTGGACCGCATCATTCGTGGCCCCCTGCTGCTCAAACAGAGCAGCCTTCGCGGCTAACCCCAGTCCACCTGAGCTGTTCAACACACACACCACAGCACCACAACACAGCAACACAATAAACCTCGCCACAACCACGACAGACCACACAACAGACACAAACGCACCACGACACACACGCCGCCGCCAACAACTCCTGGTTCCTCCTACAATCTGCACGGTATGTCAGACCAGGATATTCCGTAACGTGACATCAGTCAAGTGCAACACCTGCCTTGGCTGGTGCCACTTTAGGGCATGTTTAGGTCTGCGCACCACGCGAGAGTGGACGAGGAACTACGAGGGCAAGTGTTGCGCTGCTCGGTCGCAAACCCCAATTGCGACGCCACCCACTACCACCACAAGGCGGCATCCTCCACAGCAGCACACACTGCCAATGGCGACAAGACAAGACACATCCCTCACGCGCTGCATAACAACTCGTCTCCCGAACCAAATGAGGCTCCTTCAATTTAACTGCAATGGACTTCAGGGCAAGATCGAGGAGATCACCGTCTTCATGGGAAGGTACGGTATATTGATAAGTGCGGTCCAAGAGACGAAGTTGCACAGCAATTCAACATTGTTAATTTGTGCCGGATACAACGTGCACCGTCGAGATCGCGAGCGAGATAATGGTGGTGGCTTACCGTTCATCACGCACCACACCGTACAGTATCGTCTTATTGAAGCAGACATCGACCGCAGGGATACCACCCTAGAATGTTAGGGCATTGCTATCCGGTAGAGCGATGTCGAGCTCGAAATATTTATCGTTTATATACCCCCTGTATCTAGCTGCCCGGCAGGATATCACCCTGATGTAGGTGCGCTCCTCAGAGGTGAGAACCGTAGTAGTTGGTATTTGGTGACTTTAATGTGCACCACGATCTTTGGCATTCAAGCCTGTCAAACAATCGTAGGGGAACAGACTTGGCTGAGCACATAGCCGATTCGACATTCCGCACAATGAACGACGACGCACCCACCAGGATTATGGGCAGCTGCTGCAGCTCGCCAGACAACAATTGTCATGGCTGGTCTGATAAATAGCGTATCATGGCGACCTATGCTGACTTTGGCATCAGACCATCTGCCCATAGTCATTTAGATCGATAAACCAACACATTGCTTCCGCTGAACACCGGACCTATATAAACTTTTCTAAAGCTGATTGGAAAGGCTTCGCGGAATGTACTGAGAGAACCTTCGCTGCGCTCCCCACACCAACCGACGCCCACCTTGGTGAACGGAAGTTCCGCAGGTTTGCCACTGCTGCTGCAGCTCGCTTCGTACCGGCAGGATGCATTACGGACCCCCNTTCAAACCCAGGGCCAGAAACATATACCTGCTGTGTATGCCAGAGACTACTACACCACAACTCTACCTCAGTCAAGTGCAATGCTTGCGACGGGTGGAGTCACCTCAGAGTCTGCTCAGGACNTCTGAAGCAACTGTTCGCCAGGCCGATCCCGGAAATCCCCGTATCAGGGATCTCAACGCTGAGATTCGGCAGCTTGTGAACGAACATAAGCGGAAAAAGTGGGAAGAGCATCTGAAGACTTGTAGCTTCACCTCTGGTGGGAGTAAGCTTTGGTCAACCGTGAGGTCACTGTTCAATCCGACGAAGCACGACGACAGGGTCGAAATTTCTTTCGGCCACCATGCTGGAGAGACACTAGAAGCCTTGCTGCTCCCGTATTTTACGAACCACCAGACCCCAGCGAAGCATCATCCGTAAAGTGCACAGTACAAAAACAGCACTTAACGCCATAAACACGCAGTTAACACGTGGCCTAAACCGCGACCGTCCCTGTGAGAGAACTATTCTAGTAGCATTGGACCTGTCAAAGGCGTTTGACACCGTCAGCCACTCCACGCTACTAGCAGACATAGAGGTCTCCTCTCTCCCACAGAGGCTCAAACGGTGATCGGCGAATTATCTGAGTGTTCGACACTCGTCGGTAATGTTTAGAGATAAATCGAGCAAACTCAGAAAAATAAAATAGAGGGTTCCACAGGGTGGTGTCCTTTCCCCACTACTGTTTAACTTTTACATTTCAAAGCTCCCTGAACCACCAGAGGGAGTCCCGATTGTCTCTTAAGCCGACGATTGTTCGGCGGGTCTCTCCCAGCTCTCTCGCTTCTTCACTGCAAGGAGCCTTACCCTCTCCCCTACAAAATTTTCTGCGACCTTGTTCACCACCTGGACATAGGAGGCAGACTACCGCTGCGAATTCACGTCGCTGATACACCAATTCCGACGGTGATAACCCCAAAATACTCCGAGTAACCTGCTCTCCTTCTCTACGCACGCAACCGCTATTGTCAACAAAGTACAGAGCCGCAACAAGGTCCCCAAGTCGCTAGCCGGCAGGACTTGGGGCAAAGACAAATAAACGTTGCTGGCAACATACAAGGCAATAGGTCGGCCGGTTTTAAATTACGCAACACCAGTGTGGTCGCCGGGGACTAGTAGGACGCTGTGGATGAAGCTACAGACAACACAAAACACTGCACTTAGGATAGCGACTGGATGCCTTCGGATGTCGCCAGAATACCACCTGCATGACGAGGTGAAATGCTCCCACTAAAGGAGCATAACAAAATGCTCTGCAAGCAGTTTCTAGTTGGGAACCGCAGACGTGATCACCCGGGTAGACAACTGTTGCAGAAGAGCCCTCGCCCAGGCACGTCAGGAGCCATCTACGAACTGACGGATGAAGTCCAGAGTTTAATTAAGCAACCTGTGGACCCGTCAGCATATCGACATGCCCTGAATGGCATTTACAGGGAGTCAGTCTGGAGTTATGTAGTCTCCAGACCTGTGAATGCCGTTGCAGGCGCACAACCACCGGACATCGACGAGACGGAGCTTCATCTGCCTCGGGAGACTAGAACCACAATAGCCCAACTTCGCTCTGGCCACTACACATAGCTGAGCATATTCGACGCAGATGTGCCAAATGAGTGTCCGGCATGCGGAGAGACACCCCACGACTCGAAACATCTCTTCGTATGCCCGGAAAACCAGACAACACTAACGCCTTTGCCCCTGTGGACCGACCCCATTGAGGCTGCACGCTTCTTGGGGCTTCCGTTAGTGGAGCTTGACGACAACGACTGAGATATTAACCGATCTGGGCGGGGTTATTGTAGCCGCTACAACAACAACAACAACAACAACAAGTGCTATAAAGTTGAAGTTAATAGAATTTTGAAGTACCAAGAAATAGGACTTGAGGGTAAATAAAATTTCCGCGGCAACCACAAAAATGCAGTTGCCAACATAGCAACTCAATTGCCAGCATTCAGTTGTAAGTTGCTGTCTGTAATACCATTTCAGCCACTGGCAACGGAAGTTAGAAGTTAATTTTAAATGTTTGTATTGAAAACCGCTTGTAAATAGCTGAAGTAGTGTTAATTACCCACTGTGAAAACGTCTCTTATTATTAAAGAACTGGAGGCTAAATTAATACCAAATGCACTAACTAAAAACTCGCATTAAATGTGCTTACTGTCGTGTCTGGCTCTTTAGAAAGCTGTTCTTCCTGCAAATTTTTGAGAGATTAAAAAAAGTTGGAAAATAGAAATGACTTGGGCTTAAATTTGATAAACAAACAAAACCCCCGGAGCTGACGGTATACGCGCTGAGCTTTTCAAAGCCGGCAGCGAAGAGCTAAGTCCTATCGAAAATACTGTATGAAAGGCTGAAACACTCCAAGAACTAACTGATTGACTTCAGTCATTGCAAATCCACCAATGATCAGATTTTTACAGTGGCCCAAAAGAGGAACCTTTATAAGCAAATCATTCTCACGACAGCCAGTTCTACGTACCGGAATGACTCGAGTTTTACCCGACCAAGGGCTGTAGTTTCGGCGATCTAATCCTCTTTAGGTCGGCGAAGTCTCTTAAACGTTGTTTGTCCATGGGCAAAATCTGCTCCGCATTGTGTTTTCATGTTTATTTGCACCAAAGTGCACCCAGCAGTCGCGGCCGTAAAAATAAAGGCTTTTTGA